GTTCAAAGCAGCACAGGCCGCTCGAAAGAACAAGGAGAAGCGAGAGGCCAAGGCAGCAAAGGACTTGGCGGCCGCTGTCAAGCGGTGCTATGCGGACTGCAACGAGAACGTCGACCGGGCGGTGCAGGCCACCATGCCGAGGCACGTCAAGGTCTATCGCGACGACAAGAACGGCCGTTGGAAGATCTCCTACAGTGCCCGTTGGGCTCATGCCTCTCGGAGCATTTCGTGGACAATGGTGGGCAGCAAGGCGGCTGGCTCCGAAGTCATTCGTCAAGCGTGGAAGTGGGTCGCCACTTTCGAGGGCCTGGACATCACAGCGGAGGCACAGACGATCCTGCAAAAGCTCGAGGCGTGAGAAAGTCTCTCGTGTCCGAACTCAGCAGAAGGCAGGCCGTGGCACCCTGGACTTTACCGTGTTGACGGCCGGGTCACTCGAGTCCTCAGAGCCGCAGGAACCGCCCGTGAGGAGGAAAAAAACCAAGGCACTGCACAGCTCCAACTGTTGCAGCCGAAGTTTAGCCAAGTCTGCAGTTTCGCTTTGGAGTGCCTGCGAAGAACCCCAGACTCTAGACCCCTTCGTTTTGTGTCTTTTCCAAGGTCCATATGCAGGGCATCAAGCTGGAGATCTCTTCATGGAGGCTGAGAAGGCTCCATGCTCACAGCCGCCTTTCTGCAGAGCTTGCTGGTTGCAGGAAAGTCTGCCGGGTTTGAGTTCTTGCAGCTTGGAATCGTTCTGGGCCTCGCTGAGCCTCGCAAACACAGAAGCCTTCTGAACGTCCTGCTGCAGCTTCAAGGCTTGTCTGCAGTGTCGTTTAGCTGTCACGGTGGCAAGTAGCTGCCATGCCCCGGCCCACCCTGGCCGACACAGGAGGCATCAGGCCCCCGAGTGCCTGGTCTCTGTTTTGCGGATGGGTCGCTCGAGAAGGCCTTACGGCCGCTCAGGCCTCTCGTTGCCGTATCCGGGGTAAACGTATGCTTCGGGAGTTCGGGTCCATGAAATTGAGATGGTGCCTTCGCTTGATTCTAGCAGGTTTTCGCAGTTTCTTTTTCTGAAAGACATCTCTCAGGTCGTAAGTTCAGCGTTAGGATTTTCTAGATCTAGNNGCTTCGGGATTAACTAAGGGGAGTAAGAGGGTTGCGGTGGTGTTTTCGGCCTAGCAGGAGATTCCAAGGGTTGTGTCTCTGTCTAGTTTCTGAATACATATGTAGCAGCCGTGCGTCTAACTCTAGCCGCTTCGGTTTTTTTCAGGAAACACGGCAGCTTCATTGATCATGAGACTCATACATTCGGCCTCCTTGCCAAATTAATTAGTAGGGGCGGTAGCCGTTAGTTTCCTCACAGCAGAAAGTCAGTCATTGTATTCCTGCCACTTGCCATTACTGAAATTGCTTCGTTGATTCTCGAATCACCTGAATAGAGGGGTTTGAAAGACTTGAGTTCTGCGGGTTCACTAGGGAATTTGCCAGTGCCACTTCTGTTAGGTACCCTAAACCCTAAACCCTAAACCCTATCTCTAAAGGCTTGGCAGATCCTTTTGGAATCCCCAGCATTGTGGCGGCAAGTTAAGTTGAGTAGAGAAACAGGGAGAGTCCAGAAGTAATCCCGAGCCCCTGCCCCTGCCTGCGCTCAGGAACCACAAAAAGCACAAGGACGTTCGTCAGCGGTTTTTCGCGGAGGCTCAGAAGGCCTACGAGGCCAATCGCAAGAAGGCCACCGCTTACAGAAAGGGGCAGCGGGCCGCTCCAGACGAGGAGCTCGAGAACGACCGGATCCTTCAGGAGGACGAGGACCAGAGAGCAAACAGGCAGGGCGTCGTTTTGGACGTTTGGAAGTGGACTCTCGGGGTGTCCTTCGGACCTTTGGAGCAGATCGGTGCGGGGGCGTACGGCATGGTCTTTCGCACAAGCTTCCTGGGCCAGCCCCTCGCTCTCAAAGTCGGCAAAGGCCGTTCGTTGCAGGACCCTATGCGGCAGGCCGCTGTGGGTGGAGTGGATGTCGCCGAGGAGTTCGACGTCCTCACATCCGTCGGGCAACACCCAAACGTCGTACGGGCGTTCGGCGTTCTCACGAGCTCCCTCGGTCGACCTGCCTTGGTGCTGGAGCTGGCAGCCGAAAGCCTGCATGCTGCTGCCTGCAGGCTAAAGGCCGAAGCCGGCTGGATCGTCGGCCGCAAGTCGTTGGTCCCGCTGTTTCAGCAGTTCCTCGTTGGCCTTTCCTACGTGCACGGCCGTTCGTTTTTGCATCTGGACGTGAAGCCGAGCAACATTCTCGTTTTCGGAGACAGTCGTGCGGCAGTCGCGGACTTCGGCTTGGCAAGGGCGATGACGGAGGAGACCTGCGGCGTGATCGGCAACCGTGCCTATACGGAAGCCTTTCGGTGCCCCGAGTGCCTCATGGCGGACGAGCGGAAGGTGTGGACAGTTTTGTGCGAAAGTGCCCAGGTGCCTTAAATCTTAATTAGCCTAGCTCTCCCCTATATACTGTAATTATACGACCAACACAGCCGTCTCTGACTTCCATTGCCCCATCAGGTGCGATTGACGTGCTCGGCCGACGTCTGGGCGGCCGCCGTATCGTTTTTCGACATTTTCAGCCCCAAGGACACGGTGCTGTGGAGAATGGCACCGAAGTCGTTCGCACGAGAGACCGAGGAGGGCACCGCCGCTGCTATTCGCAGCATGGCAGTTCGTGTTTGCGAAAAGGACATGCCGTACGACGACACCACGAAGAAGATCCTCGAGCGGTCGCTCGTGCCTGCCCGCCAGAGACTCTCCTTGACCGCTTTCCTGGACCTGACCCAGAAGAAGGCCTTTCGAGGGACTGCCGCTGCAAGGTAGGCCGAGTGGACGACTCTCGCAAGCATGGCCTCGCGAAAGAAAAGCACAGCTGAACTGCCAAGTCTGACCTCAGGTCTTTGTCTTCAACAAACCCCGAACCTCAAGCTCACCTGGGCCAGGTACTTCGACGAGCAGCTC